ATGAGACCTGGTCCCAAGAGATGCCCCCTGTCACACCCAAATTTTGAGGTCATTTTTGCAAACAAGCAGTCATCTAAGAAAGAAAAATGTTGCAGGCTTTTGTTTCCCAAGATGTGTGGGTATAATCAAGAGGTGAAGATTCCCAGAGCTGCAGAAAACTGGAGAAGACCTTTTACTGGTAATAGTCCTGTCCCACTGTAAACTAAAGGAATTTCAGTGCAAAGGCTTTAAGGCAACATATACATATATATCCTGTAAGTCAAGAGGTGAAAACCAATCTCCTTAATAAGGTGATGACATGAGCCCCATCACCATCTTGAAGTTGATCATTTAGATCTTTTTTAGGTCCACCTGGATCATCATCATTGATTTCCCTTTGGGATCAGAAAATAAGTGCTGTACAACCCCTTTCCCTTGAGGTACTGGGGTTCCTTTTCTAAAAGGGAAGGCATTTCTTTCTGTAATGACTTCTTGCAAGAATGTTCCATTTAAAGAGATGGAGAAAAGTGTTTTGGAAATGGGAGCAACATAAAGTGTATGGGCTATCTATGCACTATCACTTTGAGGACTGAACAGTCCAAAGTGATATTAGGACAGGTGTTAATATAATGGTCCACACACTTTATGTATTTATATGATTGATTTATATGCCATCCTTTCCAAGAAAGGCTTATGATGGCTTACAGTAAAAGACAAAATAACTTATAAAAGCAGATGAAACATTAAGATAAGAGGCCTGAAGAGACCACATTTTCTTGCATACAGTATGTACCTTCCCACCCCACCCCCCAATCAAGGTATGTGGGAAAGTTGATGTTGTGCCTAAGACAGAAGCACCCTGTTTTAATTCCTGCTTCACAACGCATGAGCTCCAGTATTACTATTCAGACATCTGAGGGAGTCAATGGCCTATTAATGGGGTATTGATTTAATGGCTCACTGTTCTTCACTTCACAGTTGTTAAAAATTCTCTCCCCTTTTTAACAGACATACCACTAATGAAGCTAACCTTTCTTAGGGTATTTTGCTGTCTGTGATGACTTCTGGTCTCTTCTCCTATTTCACAGTTCTTTAGCTCTTTTCAAGTTCATAGCCAGGGATCCCATTATTTCTGATTTAAAAAATCCCCAATTTATATACCCCATATTAGTGGCATTTCATTTTAATCACAGAAACATGTGGATTTTAGGTTATTTTTTTATCCAAAAATTAGGGATTTTTCTTTTAAAATCAGAGAAGACCAGGATCCCTGGTCATAGATGAACCCATGGAGACCAGGCTTCAGCAATAGCTGGGATTTTAGTTAAGAAAGAAAGGAAGGTTGAGTTAGATGAAGAGTAGACTCTGCCCCTGCTCTCTGCAGTAGTGACTCTGAAAAACAAATTTCTTCATAATGCCTTTCAAAAACAAGAGTGTATTATATTTGGAGTGTGTGTTACATGTGTGAAAATATAGTATATTACTTTCCTTGACTACAACACATTTTCTTTTTGTGAGGAAGGGGTCCTGCAAGATGGCAAGGGGGAAGTAGACGGCCTTGTGTTTGTGTTCTTTGATGCTTCCTAAGCAGCTTAAACACTGACTGTGTTGTTTCAAACAGTAGATCTTGAAAGGGTACAGATTATTGAGAGACCCTTCTGTGTGAAGTGTGAGGCTGAAATGTTTGTGTTTGTTTGCACAAAGGAAAATAGACTGAAAAAGTTCAGTGAAGTGCTGGAGTAAGGTTCTTTACATCATGTAATGATTTGTCTATGTCTTTAAACAGTAAACCTTCCATCATGGCTTGTACCTCTATCTGGAGACAAACATATGGAGCCAAAAGGTCCAAGTGTATCACAACAGCTGAAACCATTAACCTAAAAACAGTGTCAGCTGTATCTAATGGCCCTCACTGGTGTAACTCACTGGCCCTCTGAAATCAGGACAGCACTCACAGTTCTTAGGACCCTTCTACATGTTACATGTATTATGCAATTAACTGGTTAATCGCACAATTTAGACTAGTGACGTGCAAATTAGCTGTCACACCATGAAAAGGTTCAGCTAGCTATAAAGTTAGAGCTGGAAAATGTGTAATAACTTTTTAGCTGGTTTCCATCCAGCTTTAAAATTTGCATGTGTAGCAAAGTATGTCCCCGCACCTGGTGGAGCTCCCAGCTGCAGTAGCATCCCACCCTGCCAAAAGGTGGGACTCTCAGCCATGGCAGTGTCCTCTAATCATAACTAGGGGACCCCCTCTAGATGTTCAGGTAAAGATGTGATTGGATCGGATGCTGATTGGATCCCACAAAAGCGTGACAGTGTGGATCTCACATTGTATCCTATCATACCTTAACCCGAATGTCAGGAACGGTCCCTATTTTTGACTAGCATTACTAATAAAAAACAAATCCTAACACAGGCTACAGGAGATACAAAGGCTTTTTTTCATTTCTAAGTTACGTTAAAACCAAACATATTTGGATAGGATCATTAATTTCAATATGGCTATTTGTGTCTTACCTTGGGTCTACATTTGCTGTTGCTTCATCAATAATTAGTATTTGATTTTTTTTGAGAATTGCCCTGGCAAGGCACACCAGTTGTCTCTGACCAACACTGAAATTAGATCCAGATTCTGCTAATTGTGTCTCCATTTTATCAGGTAGATCTTCCACAGTCTCCTTCAGTTGCACCTATGCATGTCAGAACATTACAGGATAAGGAGCTCATTTCTGAACAAAATGTTCTTGGTTTGATCAGGATAGGTGTTTATACAACAGTAAACATGTAATATTTACCTATCATGTTTGTGTGCATACACTATGTACTTCAATTCTAGAGTAATGAAGGTTAACAAAAATCACTACAATATATATTTTAAAGTTTCATTCAAATTAAGATTATATGAATCAAAATTAATCAAAAAAGCACTACAGATGATAGAAAGACACTGTACAAAAAGCAGACAGTTTGAAGATGTAGATACAACATACCAAACATGTTACCTTTTTTCCATTCAAATGGCATATCCTTAAAGGAATGATGAAACTAAGTCAAACGTGGTATGCACAGCCACTATTACGCTATGTTACTCCTCAAGTAAAGCGAACTATATATGTGTGCGTGTGTGTGTGTGTGTGTGTGTGTGTGTGTGTCTAGATTTTAAGTTACCTCTTCCAAGACATTCCACAGTTCTGCATCAGTGTATTCACTGAAAGGGTCCAGGTTTCTCCTCATAGTTCCCGTGAACAAAACAGGCTCCTAGAAACAAATGAAACATTTACATACTTTATACAGACACACTGGATTTTTATACTACAGCAGAGAATGTAAATATATTAAATATTATGTTAAAACAGATATGACACATACATATATTACAGCAAATTATCTTTACTGAGATGCAAGGAGAACATGTTGCTGTTCTTTTCATATAACAGAAGAAAGAAATACCTCATAGGATTCAAGGAGGAAAAAAAAGATAAAGGCATAACAAATCTGCCTGAAGATATTTAAACAAACATGAAAAACCAAGCCACAGGTATCCTTGCAAAATTGGCATATGCAACAACAATTTATGTTGTCTGTACTTGAAATGGCATAATTTGGCTGCTTTAGACACCACACACTTTTCACTGTATATTTACAAGACACGTAATGAAGCCACCATAAAATAATTGCTATTTTTCTGACACTGCTAGTGGAAGAAAGCTGCAATAAAGGTCAATGAATGCCCACTCCTAACTCAACAGGCATTACATTTTTAAATGCTCTGCCTGCATAAGTACCTAGAGACGAATTTAGTAACTCAAAAAGTTGAGCAAAGCTTTTTAAAAAAATCATACTGCAGTAGTTCTTCAGATATAATATTAAATGGATTTCGCAAACTTCTTTGCAACATTTAAGCCTAGATACTTAGTTTATGGCCTTTATTAATACCCATCATTTAGACTTCTATAGCCACCAAAGCAGTGTCATTCAAAACCAGGGCAGTGTCTGCTTGACATAAGTTATTGTTCCACAAAATCTAACTCCCAACTGTGAGAAAAGAAGCAAACAAATACAGCTGTGACATACAAAAGGAGAGAACAGAAGAGTGAGACAAAAACATAAAACAAAGATTATATGGTTACACGAGCTAATGTTGATGGCTAGAAAATGATATTTAGAGGTTTGCTTTTGGAAATTGGCTTGTAGGTAAAGCAAATATTGCATTAGAAGAATTGTCCAGGGAAAAACTGGCCGCAGCTGGAGTATTGTGTCCAGTTCTGGGCGCTGCACTTCAAGAGGGACATGGAGAACCTGGAGAGGGTTCAGAGGAGGGCAACTCGTATGTTTGCGAGCCTCCATGGCCAGCCCTATGAAAAGAGGCTGAGGGACCTGAATCTCTTCAGTCTCTGCAACAGGAGACTGAGGGGGGATCCTGTGGCTGCCTACAAACTTATCAGGGGCCACCAGCAGGGACTCGGGGAAAGTCTGTTCACCAGGGCAGCCCTTGGAGTCACCAGGAACAATGGCCACAAGCTGAGGGAGGATAGGTTTAGGTTACATATTAGGAAGAACTACTTCACTGTAAGGGTGGCCAGAGCCTGGAATAGGCTTCCCAGACAGGTGGTGCTCTCAGCTTCCCTGGAAATCTTCAAGAGGAGACTGGATAGGCACCTGGCTGGGGTCTTATGACCCCTGCCACCCCCAGTGCTCATTCCTGCCCATGGTGGGGGGGTCGGACTTGATGATCTGTCTAGGTCCTGTCTGACTCGTTGATTCTATGATTCTATGAAAAGGGAAGGGTTAATTGGCTTCTAAAAGCCTGACTGTGACAAAGTTTCCTTCAAGGCCCACTGTGTCTGGAACCAGCAGACACCGTGTCTGAAGTGAATGAACAAGCAGGCATACACAGGCTGGGAAAGTGAAGACATGAACACTGTTCTATAACAGAGATAAAGGGCTTCACAGCATTAGGGCCAGGTTAAAGTGCCCAACTGCAGAGCCCTTGGCATTCCAGTTTCAGTAAATGCCCAAATTAAGATGTATGTGCATGTGATGAGTTGGAGAAACGAAAAAGAATATGCTGAAAGAACATAATGTGGACAGTAGAACTGCTACAGGGAGACCAATCAACGATGCCCAGAGATGAAGAGTCAGAGGAGAGAAAGATTACAAAAGGAGGAATTTCAGAGTAGCAAAAGGTCCCTGAGAGGGGAACCCACGGCCACCACAGATAGAGGGCACATCTCACCCACCCGACTGAGGGAGGGTGGGCCTCGGCCTTCGACCTCCAGCCTGCTGACATCTGACATACAAGAGAGAACCTCAGGGTGAAGCTCACATACTGTCCAGATGTACCTTCCATCTGTGACAGCTTTAAAACTGGTAGATATAGAATTGTTTGCATTATTTTTATCTGCTATCACTGTGTATCAATAAAACGTTCCTATTATTCAATGAAGAAATCATGATCTGTCTGAGGGGTTGGGTCCACCCAGAACAAGGTATATGGGTCATAAATTCAGTGCCAACAAATGGGTACACAAATTGATGGCTCCAAGTTATTTCTTTTTTCTTAATTCAGAAATTGCTGGCAGATTAGTTGCTAGTTGGTGTCAGAGCAGCAGCAGGAGATCTTGAGAAGAGATTTGAAATAAAAGATTGTCTTAGGTTGTGGACAGACTGAATGTTTACAGCAGTGTAAGATACTTCTGCATATGGAATGGTCAGATGATCTGATCTCCAAGGCAGCTGGGAGCAGGTCTCCCAAGGTAGGGTAATTCTTGACTGAGGCAAAGTTGAAGCAGCTCTGGAGAGCCTTGGAGCAGGCTTAAGAGGCCCAGACAGCACCTTCTGTTAGTTTGCTGAGTGATTCCTTCTTTTCAGTGTTTGAGACAATGTAGTTTAATGGCCCAATGACTGTAGGGTTTCCCAAGTTCCTTCAGAACTTCCTCACAGGTGAAGCACTGTTTTGGCCTTTGGCTGGCATTTCTTGGCATCCTCTACCATGAAAAAAGGGGGTAAGTAGCTTTCCGGGAAGGAAATTAATTGGAAAATCCAGGAGTCAAATGGTTTCAAAGCTCCAAAGAGAAGAATAGACATGAAAATAAGCTTGCATCTGCCCCCAGAGAAAAAATAAGATGCAAAAGAAGCAAAAGTGAGAGAGAGCTGAACCAAGTTTTGTTCCACAACCAGGCACTGATCATCTGGTCAATGGAGGTGGGGACAGAGAAGTAGGATTTTGCCACAGAAACCCCACTAATAGCCCGAAAGACCTTCAGTATCCACACACACCTTGCAAATATCTAAGCATCATAGGGGGAGACATTAGAGGAAAATAATATTTGGTACCATCACTAGCATACCTATGAGTGGACAAGCGGGACACCATCCCCGGGTGCCAATTTAGAGGGGGCACCAAAAAGGCAGTCACTGGGGAGGCAGTGTTATAGTGGCAGCATGTGCTGGTATGCAGGAGACCGTGGGGCAGCAGTAGCAGCCATGGCAGCAACCACTAGGTTCTTTCAAGTCTGGCATGAAACTCACACCAGAGCAACATCCCTCCCTCCCTGTCCCACCCTATTCCTCTGGCCCTCAGACCCCTCTCCCACGTGCTCTTTTATGCCTCTGGGTATAATATGAAAGCACAACTCAAGTAAAAAATAATGCTGTCAAGAATTGTAAACTATCTATTGAGTTACTGGAGCGCCTAAAGGAAGTCTACATTTAAAAAAAATATATTATATATATATTTGCTTCTCTCTGATATTTTTTAAACTGCAGAGGTCATAAAGTTTAAACTCTATACTGATTTACAATATGTTAATGCCCAAGCTGTTCCTGGATTGATGCAAGGGATCAATGAAGGGAGAACATGGTACAATAAACAGACCATGCACAGAATGTGAATTTTTTTTTTCTTACATTAGCTGCTTGAAAATATTTGTTAAACTCACAAAGCTTCAATGAAAACCTGTTGAATGAGTGAAGAGTTAAACAAAACATTAACAGATTAAAAGAACATCATTTTAAGAAAACAAAGCAAGTAATTTGTTTAACAGTACATATTTTAATACAGTAGTTGATGCGTCTTAAAGGTATTATTAAGTTTATTTTCCATTTCAATTTATTTTTATAGGCTGGCAAAAGAAGAAGCTGAATTTATAAAATGCTCACAACTATTATAAAAGTCCTAACAGCAGACATGTACTGTACTGCAACAGTAGATAAGAATAATTTTTAATTATCATTTCTGACACAGATTATTATTTAAAATAGCCTATTTTATGAGTGGAAGTTAATAAGACAAACTTGTAAATAACTGTTGTAAAAATGCTTGCAGTCAGGGAAGCAGACAATATTTGCAGAGTGAAGATTTACAGACCAACACAGCCTTCACATAGCTCCATCCAAGGAAGCAATTAGAAGACTAAGCACATTTTTATTTCTCTGGGTACATATTTAAACTTCTTTTAAAAAACTGGAATCTTCACTCATTGCTTTCTGGGAGTGGTTCAGTTTATCAGCCTGTTATATATTTTACTAAGTCTTCCCTGGTTTTTCACATCCCTGTAAAATTGTAAGGGTTTATGCAACGAAACAGTTGCCTCGTGTATAATCTTTATTCTTTCTTCTCTGCCCCACAAAAGAGAGTCATTCCTTGGCCATAGACCTTTGCATATATTTAGAAGAAAACAAGCCTCTCTTTATCTGAAAAAGAAATCCTACCTGGTAACCTTCAGACACTTAAAACCCCAGGGGACCATGATGAAAAACATTCTATATAAGCAGCAAGATAGAAGTCATAACATTTCACTGTAGTCAAATAATTTTAAGACTATGTCAGGAAATGCCCACATGAATATATAGTTAATTACAAGCACCTGCAGGACTCAAGACCTGGAGACTGCATTTGATCAGCATTTTTCCTTCTGTAAAGCTGTATTTTGTTCAACTATGTTCTGTTTCCAAATGTGGAAATCACCTGAGATAGTCTTAGACTAAGTTTTCAAGAAACTCTCTAGCCCTTGAATGAACTGATCATCATCCATTTTCTAAAGAAAAGAACATTGTGCACAAACAAAAGAAAAAGAATTTAAGTCCATGTAAAGTCCTCTTTAAATACAAAAAGGTCACTAACTCTAGTGAGTAGCACCACTGTGCATTAATGAAGCCTTCAGTGTGCAGAAACAAAAGGCAGCCTGCATTAGGCTGCAATCCAGTTGTATTTCTTTGCTAGTAATAGCATACCTACCTCTTTCTGTTTGGCTTCCATTCTTGAGAAAGAAAAAAGAAAGCTAGGTAATGAAGAGATGCTTTAGAAAGCCATTGTTAACCTTCTTAATCACATTCACAATTAGTGAAAGAAGAAGAAAAGAGATAATGAAATATAAAAAAACACTACATTACAGGCTGCTACCCTGATGTCTCTACCCCATTTAGAGTATCAGCAAACATTTAGACACAAACAGGGCCAAAGGCCTCTGAAATCCTCTTAGCTTGGAGGAACAAGGGTAAGAGAATGAAATCTGGAAAATTTAAATTAACCTGTTTCCCAGTAAAAAAAATACTCTGGTTTCCAGCCCAGTGTCTCTTTCACCTTCCCCACCACCAAACAAGTAGGATAAGATTCCTGAAAACCACATGGCTGTAGGGCCACACCTTCAACAACAAAATAAGGTGTCAAAGAGGGAGCCTCCTCTGTTTGTAGTGTCTGAACTCATATTCCTTTCCGGGAAAGGGAGATCAGATTCCCCATGCACAGACTCTGCCTGCAGGAAACTCTTAGTTCATATCAAAACCATTATCTTGCACCAATGTTTTTTTAGTAGCATGATGCAGCAAAGCAGAATGGGATTCTGAACCTACTAGGCAAGCTATCAGTCATTCCAAATCCTTCTCTTGCACCGATGTCTAGGAGCCTAAGCTCACAAAACCAACAACCACTATCGCTTCACATCCTCTTATGATCTTATTTCTAAAAACAGACTATATTTTTGTATCATACAAATGTAAACAACAATAAAGCATAGAAGAGGAGGGGTCATGGGTGGATCCACAGAAGGTGCAGTGGTGCAGTCACAGCCCCCTTTTATTCCTGGTCCACCCACAATTTAAAACCAACTGCCTGAGAGTGACAGCAGCATTTCTATTCAGGCAGCAGGGAAAGGATTCATTTGACTTCATGGGTCATTATAATCTACCTGATGCCTTCTAAACTCTTCATTCCACAAGTGTTAACAACCCTCTCTCCTTTTTTAATGGTCTTGATATTCCATTAATTTAACTATCCTTTCTTCTGCAATTCTGCTGTTAGCTGCTCCTCTTAATGTAGTTCCTATTTCAGAGCCCTGTAGACTGTTTTATCTCTAGGTAAAAACATTAATTCAGGTATGGAAACATTAAATTACGTTAATATCAACACAGGTGTGAAAATAACTTTCAGTGAAGCGTCAGATGCATTCTCAAGATGCTCAAGGTTTGATTTAGTTTCATAGATTTCGTAGACATTAGGGCTGGAAGGGACCTCACATAAGATCATCGGGTCCAGCCCCTTGCCCAAGGGGCAGGAAGTCAGCTCGGGTCAAAGGATTCCAGCAAGATAAGCATCCTAAAGTTTATTTAAAGTGTCCAGAGTAGGTGCTTGCACCATCTTTGGGGGGAGTCTGTTCTAGGCTTTGGGGGCTTGGACAGTAAAGAATTTTTTCTTATGTCCAGCCTAAAATGGTCTTGTAAGAGTTTGTGACCATTACATCTTGTCATCCCCTGCATTGCTCTGGTGAACAGGTGTTCCCCCAGATCCTGATGCACACCCCTTATGTACTTATGGGGCACCAAGTCACCCCTGAGCCTGCACTTCTCCAGGCTGAAGAGTCCCATAGCTTGCAGCCTCTCTTTGTAAGGCCTTTTCTCTTGCCCTCTGATCATGCATGTGGCTCTCCTCCAAACTCTTTCAAGCTTATCCATGTCCTTCCTGAATTGTGGAGCCCAGAATTGGATGCAGTACTCCAGCTGCCATCTCATCAAGGCTGAGTACAGCGGGAGGGTGACATCTTGGGTTTTGCTTGAGATGCATCAGTAGATGCAAGCCAGAGTTTTGTTGCAGTATTGCATTGGTGGCTCATATTCATCTTATGGTCAATCATGATCCCCAAGTTTCTTTTGGTCATGGCGCTAACGAGTGTAGCACTGCCGAGCATATAAGTGTCTTACCTTGCAAACCTACTGAGGTCAGCCTGGATCAGCAGGCTATCCTCAAGTGTGGACACGCTTCCCCAAAGTTTGGTGTCAGCGAACTTGGCCAGTCTGCTTTTGACACCAGTGTCCAGATCATTTATGAAGACATTAAAGAGTACAGGTCCAAGAACAGAGCCGTGGGGAACACCACTAGTCACTGAGTGCCATGTTGATTTGGTTCGGCCATCTACTACTCTCTGGGTTTGACCTCGGAGCCAGTTCCCCAGCCATTGAAGTATGGAGTAGTCGAGGCTGCAGGTGCCCAATTGTTCATGAGGACATCGTGGGATACCAAGTCAAAGGCTTTTTTAAAGTCCAAATATATGACATCAACCTCTTCCCTTTTGTCCAGGTGATACATCAGCTGGTCACAGAAGGAAATGGGATTGGTCAAGCAAGGCCTACCTACAACAAACCCATGCTGGCTATCCCTTAGAACATTGCTTTCCATTGTATTTTTATACATAATATATAATATAGCAAATGAATGCACACTCCAATAAAGTTATACTTGCTTTCGCTTTGATCTTAAACTGAATATAGCCCTAGGCTCCTAGCATATTAGTAAAGCTTCCAATTTCTTTTTACCTGGAAAAAAGTGTGTGTTATATTTGATGACACACCACATCATCTGCACCCTCCTTTTCAAAATCCTAAATCTGCCCATGGGAGGAACTGAGAGTTCACAGTTACAGTTTTAGTGATCTTACTCCCAGCTAGCACCGTACTGAACTGGCATCTCCTCAAAGTCATGTCTATGCCTGACTTCATCAAAATACGACATGCAATACAAGGGGTACGTACTCAGTCTTTAGGAATGAGTTATTCATTATTATTATTATTAAATTATTATTTTTAAACAGTCCACCCCACTCCATCCCATCTGTCCTCAAGTCCATTTGGGTTTCTTTCCAACAGTTCCACAGCCTATAAATGATGGTGACCTTCAGAGAGAGATGGCACACAGTGGTCCAATTCTGTGGGCCTCCTCTACATGTCACATATTCTCTACCAGCCAGCTGATGGTCATGATCAAGCTTGCACCTTCCTAGACTAGGTATTCAACCCTGTCTAAAATTAAGCCCATCACTTGTCCCAGAACCAACTGCACTACACCTTGCCTATAAGTCATTGGCAGGAGGAAAGTACCATACAAAATCTTTCCTTGTACTAAGTAACTGAGTAAGAGGTATTAGGGTGCCAAGCCTGCTCATTGTTTTGTTCCCTGCAGATCATATGCAATCTTATTTTTGTTTTTGCCCAGCAGAAGCTTAAGTGGCAGAAACTTTTGTTACTATATTTCCTGAACTCATTATGAGAACCCCAGTTTCCAGCTGCTGGGGTTGGGTTTTGGGTTTTTTTTGGAGGGGGAAATGGTAAATGCCCACTCCCTTGAAGAATAAAGGCTCCTTCCAGAACTATTGCAGGTACTTTTTACAACCAGATCTAGGATGGTAATATGGATGCTTTTATAACTCTCAATAGCTTCACCCATAAATAATATGTGACTTGTGCCTTTTCTGTTAAAAAACAGATAGCTTAATACTTCTTCCAATAAATACCACTGATCCTTTCTCAAAGGTGAGCCACAGAAGCTACCACCCAGTCCCATCTTGGCAGGTGAAGGGCTGGTATCTAATAGCTTGACTATCTAATGGCTGTCCTGGACTTCTGGAGCCTTCCAATGCTCCTGAAGAAACAGGCTGCAATTCCTAATAGGTCATTGCCTGGGCTTGCTCCTCCTTTGTCAACTTTAGCAAAGACAAAGTTCTGGTTTTGCTGCTGTAGTCCATCATTCAATTTTCCATTTTGCCTTTTATACCTCTTTTAAAGAAGATGTTCAAAAGAAAAGTTACTTGCAATACCATAGGTTAATTGTTCTATCCACTTGCCACAAAGGCTGGTCTCTTAAGGACAGGGAAGGAGCAAGACCTTTCTCCAAAAATGTGTCCAGTTTTGAATTGTCATCCCTTTATTAAGTCCACTAAAGCAGAAGATAATATTTAGGATATAACCTTGCTTTCAGACTTTGTTTTTAGCTGGGAGGTATGTTATCAGTTCTGGAATGAAGGTTAAGGTAGTTAATATAAATGTTTCCAGATGTTTCTGAAAAGTGGAGGTAAGGCCTTATTTTAAGGCCATTGATAATGCATATATTATTTTTTATTTTTGCACACAGATGCTTTGTTAAGTATTTCACAGGGAAAATAACCAAATTTTTCAAATATTAATTTTATTTAGGTGACTGAATATTGATTTTTAAAATGCCCCATTTTCATTCAGAGTTGAGTACAAATACCTGGAAAATTAAAAATCCTCACATACACAAACCTCAAGACTTTGTTTTGCTGTATGTATGTATGTATGTAAGAAGAGGAACCTTTAGGGTTTTCTGAATTTTCTTTTTTTCTTTGAAAAAAAGCCAACAAGAATACTAAAGGAATCCCTGTAAACCCATTCTCGGCTGTACTAGTTTCTAGTTAGCCCAGTAGAGCGGTAGGATGGAAGGTACCAGGGAACCACCCTTAGTCCAGCCCCTTTCCTGATGAAGGTTGCATATTGGGGTTCTACAAGATTAGATTCCTAAAGCAGAAACATGTGGAGCAGACAAAAATCCACTTCATACCTGAGGTATAATTGAAATTTTCTTCCGCAAGTCATGGAGTCCCAGTTCTGTTGTCAGGTACTTATCAATCCAAATTCTTCCTTCAGGCTCAGCCAGCCGAAAGAGGGCGGCTATCAAAGAGCTCTTTCCAGCTCCTGTTCTTCCCACTATTCCAACCTGCAAAACCAACCAAACCAATATGACTAAATCCAGCAGCTTCTGAGACTGTATTTGTAGTGCTCTTCCATATGGAAAAATGAAATTTTGAATCAACTGATAAGCAAGACAACAGGATATATTTTTGTTAAAGTACACACTCCTGTTCCACCTATGTGTCATCTTATTCCATTCTGCCCAAGTCCCTGAAAAACTAGAAACATCTACTTTTGTGACATGCCGTTACCTTAGCCTTGAATCACAAAAGTGGTGAGGAGGAGTAGGACTTCCCCTGCTTTTGTGTTAATGGTTTTTCAGGCACTGGAGAAGGGTGGAATGGGTCACACTTAAACACCTAAGAGGTTGAATAGGATCTAGCTCTAAAAGAACCTCAGCCTAGGATCACATGCCATTTTAAGCCTCAAAATAATCTAAATTAGATCAAAGGTGAAATAAGAAAACATTTGACAAAAAACCTGAAGGTTTCCCTTAATATGTGCTGTGGAATACATCAGAAGCAATGTAGCCTGGCAGGGAGAATGCTAGCCTGCAACTTGTGCAAGACAGGTCCTATTCTAAGCTTCTCTATTTTCCTACTGAGTGACCATGTGCAAGTCACTTCAGCTTTCTGTGCTTCATTATTCCATTAGCAAAAAGAGGAGAATGGTAGTGACCTCTGTAAAGCACTCGGAGGTCAGCTTATTAACCGCTTTACTATTAAATAACCATTACTTAACAGCAATCAAGCTAGCTAAGCTATCATCTGGTAACCTTTCTCATGTCAAATATCAGGTTAATCAATGAGTATCCCTAATAAGATTAAAGCTAACAAAAGGATCACAACTGGTATAGAAATACAGATGTTGTCAGTGCTCATGGTTAGTTACAGCAAATGAGGAATTAAGGTTGGTAGAAGCAGTGCATTTTGTACCATATACTTAGGCTTGGCAGGATTTGACTTTTATCAGTAAACGTTGATTTCATCTCACAATCACAGACCGATGAAAAAAATATTCCCATTGGTAATCATCAACATTTATAGAAAGGGGACATAAGAATAGGCAGCTGCTGTAGTGCCTGGGCAAGCTCCTGCTGAGCAACAGTAAGAGGCAGGGGGGGAAGGCTGGGCTCTGCTTACCTGCCTGTGTCTGTCCCCACCCCTGCCCATGCCTCCCTAGCTCAGTGCTTGTAGGGTGCTAGCCAGCCAGGTCCTCCCTTGCAAACTTGGGTAGGAGCAAGCAGGCATAGCAAGCCACTGGCAACTTCCCCCATGGGAGACAGAGAGAGAGACAGAGAGAGAGACAGAGAGAGAGTGTGTCCATTTCCACACCCCAAATTTCGTGCAACCCTGAAAAATTTAAAAATTGATAAAAATTGAAACAAATGCTTAAAATGGCCATTGATTTTAGACATCGAAATTATAAAAAATAAAACTCAAATTATGCCAAGTCTCTACAGGAAATGAAAAGAATGAAGAAGCCACCAGACAAATATAGTCACTCAGTAAAGAATTTCAGGGAAAACAAAAGACAAGAAAAATACAACATATGGAAATCCTAAGAAGCCTAAACTCATACAATTAAGAAGACTTTTACCAATACATGAAATGGTAAAATGCTGGAGAGAAAGTAGGTCCATTAATAGGAATGAAAAGGGATGACAAATAATGGTGACTAAATATGACCCAGAAAAGAAACTTCTTTAAAAAAAAATTCTATCTTCAGCAAGAAATATGTAAGGGATTACTTAGGAAACCTGAGCATATTCCAATAAACTATATCACAGAGTACAGGAGGGCATAACTTGTTGTAACAGATCTGATCCGGCAGCATCTGTTATATATTACATTCAGTTCTAGGGACCACATTCTCAGAAAGCTACTGGTAAGCTAGAGGGAGTTCAGAGAAGAGCAACAAAAGTTAATATGGGATGGCGATACTGATTTATAAGGAAATAATAGAGTTAAATATGTACAATACAGCTTCCCTAAATGATTAAAAAGGAATATGACTATAATTTATGAGTATATTAAGAGTACAAACATGGGAGGGCAATCATATAGCATACATTAATATGGTATGCAAATTTAGAGAATAACAAGGAGTATTGGAATGAAAGTAAAGAAAGGGAAACTTAACAACAAACACCAGGAAATAAAAAAACTCCATTATAGATTAAGATCTGGAATGGGTTCTCCAGAAACTGGAATAGACCTCTGTTTAAACAAAACCATACAATGCACTATGAAATAAAATGTAAGGAGTGACATGGGAGATAAAAGTAAAAAAAATTCTTTCATATTATCCAGTTTAATAATCCTAATTCAATAACTTTATTAAACAATTAATCTAAATACGTGTGTGTGTGTGCATATACACATACACACCAATATATGCAGGCGTTTATTGTCATTTTATTACGTAATATGGAATCATTTATATATATGTGTTCAAAGACATGATATAAAAGAAAATACATTCTACCATTTTGGTTGGAATTTAGATCACTGAAAAAAAGAAAAAAGGGAAATTGTGCCCAAACAATTATACTCGAACTCCTTTTTCTTTCAAAGTATAAATCAAAAAGAAAAAGCAGAAGGGAAAACACACACACACAAAGAGTTATAAGAACAAGAATTCATTTGTTTCCTCTGAAATGTCAGTGATACACCATATTGTATTAGCAGCATACAGAAAAACATTAAACAAATAAAGTGATACTTAAAATAAAAGTGCAGCTGCTCTGAAAATTATTAAAATCCCTCTTTCAGGCTGGCATCAAATGAAAGGACTGTGTTTGAGTTGTTAAATCTATTTGTATTTTCAGTCAAAATGCTGACAAGCTTCTAAAAAATCAACATGAATTTGAAACAGCTTTTAAAGGACAAAATTCCTTTACGAGTTATTTTCTTTGGATGCTTATGTTCATACAAAATAATCAACTCTATCTTACAAATGAGCCCTAGCCCCATAACTTGAACGATAATGGTAGGCAGGGCTTTGTCCTGGCAGGGGACCTTATATGCACCAGAGTCTATGTGAAGGATGGATACCATGTTCACTAAATATCTCATTCAATTTGCTTTTCCTGTGTGGTACTAAGTGGGCTAATCATTTTACTCTTTGGCAAATTATTAGCCAACCTAAAATCATTGTTGTAGCCAGCATATACTAACACGGTTTTGAATACCATTTAGCAACTACCTTAAGCTTTTAAATACCACTTTTATTGCCTACATTGCCAGAACTGGCCCTGTCTATACTAGGGACTAGGCAGCAATGGAATACTCATTTAATAAAAAATGGAACAAGTTCTTCCATCAGTCCACACTACCGGTGTCTGCTGGAACAGCTATGTTGGTCACAGACCATCTGACAGAGCTAATCATGTGGGAAGTAACCCCAAATGAGAAAGCTTTTTGTATCACTAAAGCTTGTTACACTGGTGATTTTTACTAGAGACACAGATGTGCTGGTATAGCTGCATTGACAGTAAGAGCACTTTTCCAGTACAGTATACCAGTGTGACACTCCTAGTACAGATGAACCTGTAGTCTACACAGGGTGTTAAAGGACAATGAAATATGTTTCTCCATCATTAAAAACTAGGAAAGGTACATTAGTTGCTTGGGAACCTATTATTTTTTAGCAGTGGCAGTTTGCTGTAATACTTTGCAAAGCATTACCAAAAACAATAGTTTCAAAAAGGAAGGAAAAAACACCAAATTTCTCTCCAGAGGTGGCAACTGGTTCAAACTGGGCAAAATTGTTTTAGAAAGGCAAACCCACAGCAGTCACATAGATCAAAAAACCCCAACAAGTATTTAGCTACACATTGTTAGCATCTGTTCTTTTCTTTTTCATCTGCTCTTTTATTTTATTTCTATTTCTTACTCTGGTCTCACCAACCTCCTACTAAAAAAATTACATCTTTTTATCCACCATTATACTAGGTAGCTTATAACTGCTACAGAGCTAGCCAAAAGGTGAGAAAAGCACAGGAAAGAAAAATAATCCTTTTTACTACACTTTGCAAACATCCTGCCCTGAGTTCCTAACTACTTATTACCACCAGATTGCTTCTGTGTAGCACTGAAAGTCCAAATTCTTGTAACATACATATTACTAAGATGGTTTGCTGGAGGAATGGAATGGGTTATTGGCGACACGTAGAGGGTGCACACGGGTGCAGGTGCAGCCTCTGAGCATGTTAGTGCACCCCCTGTGAAAAGGCACCACCAACACTGCCAGTGGCATCTGCGGGCAGTTTGTCATCACCACTGGCCACTGCCAATGCTGCTAGCAGTGTCTGCGGGTGGTTACCAACCGCTGGTCAGCGCTTGCCCCCCTCCCTCCACTGCCAACAGTGCTGGGGCTGCCTGCAGCCAGCAGTTCTCCACTTAGTGCCATCATGCTCCTGCCACCGACAGCACTACTGCCACCTGTGGGAGCTTGCCATAACCCCTAAGCTTCTGGGGGCATGTGGCATTCATGAAATGAGCTGAGGCTGAATGGAAGATGAGTTTCAAATAGGGCAGGGCAGTGATGGGCAGAGTAGGACAAAGCTCCCAAGTAAGGAATCTTAATTTTAAAAAAGTGTGTGTACATTTGAAATGTAGCAGAGCCTGAACTGACACTGAGTTCTTGTAATTTCTTTTTTTCCCCCTATAATGGAGACCTCCCTCTGTAACAATACTTTTTAAGTTGGGGTAGTCTCAGAATAAGAAAGAGGAAGATTGGACAAAGGAAGATTTTGTTTCTACATTTCTGTCAACTACCAATTTAATCATGGTAGGTTAAAGGAACTGAAATAAAATCCTCAATCATAAAATATCTTCTCTTCTTCATCATGTACATGCATGCATCTTCCTCTTAATTATCCTTATCCATCTATGAAAATGGATTACCTCCCACACTCTAGGCACGTTCCCACAAGCTGGCACGTGTGGTTTGTGGCACTGCAGACCCATCTGCAGCACTGCAAACTGCATGCATTACATATGCAGGTGTTCACCACACTGCTAATTTGCAGCACAGTGGGTTATTTTGACATTGGGAGATCCTGGTGTCAAAAAAACCTGCTCCAGAAGAAAGCAAGGTGGTGCAAGTGGCAACAGAGCACATTGCCTGAAACCAGAGCCTGGCCAGCTAGAGCCATACTCCAGCTGCGAACCGTGCTCCACACACCTGGATCACTGTTGCTGGAGTCCCAGGAGGTGCCCAGGACTCCAGGTAAGGCTGCTGGGTCCAGTCCAGGTGCTGGCCCTAGACTCCCCTACTGCAGCCAGGGCAACTTGGCAGATACCAGATCACATGTGAAGGGGCATTCCCCAGGGCCAACTACCAGCAGCACAAAAGCAGAGATGCCGTTTCTTTGCATCTTTACCCCTCTTCCTCAACAACTCTGGCCCTATTTGCCTTGGATTCTCTGAAAGTTGGTCACATCCAAGGAGTTTCCAAAGCAACATTTAGGCTCAATGAAATGGCACTTTTCAATCCTCTCGACTCCTTAGTTTCTCAAACCACAAGGCAGGTAATTAACCCCAGAAAGCTACTTATATTCCCAAAAGAAGTGTTTCTTCCTTTGTTATTACTAACATAATTACATTTTTAAGACTATGGCTTATTTACTCACAATATCATATTTTATATCAGTTAATATTAAACAACATGATGGGTCCAGTTGAAGCAAGCAGCAAATGCATACCTTCTCTTTTGATCTTATTAAGGCAGAAAAGTGCCTTAACACCAAAGGTCCGTCTAAGCTGTAAGTGAAGTTAACATTTTCAAATGCAATCATCCCCTGAGCTGGCCAGTCGGGTGGTGGGCGCCTACTGGACTCCCAAGAAGCTTCTTTTTCAAGATCTGTGTATTCCATTACTCTTTCTACTGATATCATCTGGAAAGTCAAAAAGCAACAGACCCCTGTTTATTTACAATCTTGAATAATATTTTTGATTATAACATTGCATGCAAAATGATTACAGAACTTTTCTTTCAATTACAGATTCTGCAAAGGAGAGATCTTGGCAATGTCCTGTATTTATGAAATAGAAATAAAAAAGTGGAAGGGTTTGCCTTTTCCTCCTAACATAGGTTCCAATCCAGCATAATATTTAAGTGTATACATATTTTTAGCACCTGATTTGATTTGCTCTTCAAACTCATAATGAGTGAATTCCACTAATTCACACAAAAGTATTTGGCAGTCTCTTCTCAGGTAAGTTTTATCAGTGTTATTAACTGATGTTTGGAAAGTGCTTTGAAAATGCAAATGTGCTATACAGTATAAATACAACACAAGACTACTATTAGCATTATTTATTGCTACATAAGGATGTGTTACTTCTTATATACAGGTGTATATACTACACTATGTTGCAACAAATCATCATAATTACAAGTAAATTTCAAGTGTCACTACAAATGAAAAAGTAGATTTTTTCTGATGCAATGTGTTCTCTTTACAGTATTTGTTTGCTTCCACATTAATTTAAAAAGCTTACTATCCAGCATATATTTTCCTCATAAATAGCATAAATTGTTTTAGGATGTTCTACTACATATATTTGGGAAACACCAAAAATTGACTTACTTTATATAGCAAAGTAGTGAATTCAATAAAAAATTAATACTTTTTAAATATTCATCAACTCTAAACAAATTAACAGGCATAAACTTTTAGGCATCAGTGACAGGGTCCTAAAAATTCCATTAGCCCCAAAGCAAAAATAACATTTCTAATGTATATTATGTCACTTAACAGCAAAGAGATTTGAAAAGACTAAAATGAAATAAATGTTACCAGATTTTCAACTTCAGCACTTTGTCTAACACCCCACTGGAACATTCCCATGAGAGTGATTGCATAGGACAATGCCAAGCCAACTTGTCCTGCATCCAGAGCTGGAGCATAAATTAAAAATAAAACACAAAAAAGAATTTATAGAACACCACAAAACTCCAGTAAGCTCCTCTCTGAACCTAATGTATGATTGAAGTGGTAGGGACAGACTGTTTTTTTTCACCTCAGTTTTATACCCGTATAAACAAAAGTGCCAAATAAAAATACCACAACAAATATTTTCTTAAGTTTTCAAAAATCTGTTAGAGAAAACAGTCTTCATTCACTACTCAGGCCTCTGGTCTGAAGTAAGCTGGGGTAGACAAAGGGGTTGTTCATCTAAAAATAGCCCCTAGTTCTAGGGTAGGGAGAAACTGACCCCCACATCCTGTCAAACTCCCCATGGAGCCACTAGCCCCACAATCTGCCCACCCTGACTTACATCAATCTGGCTCCCGGGACCAGTGAACACTGGTCAAACAGCGCCAGGAGTAATTTATGGGATCGGGAGTAGTTTGGCCACATTGGAGGGATGGGGGGTGGAGAGCTAGGGGGCTAGGATGGTTTTTAGAGCCGCTCTAATTAAAGAGTCCCCTACCCCGGAGCATGTGTAAAGATGCCCCTATTCTCCTTATCCTGAGTTGAGAGGAGACTCAGGCCATGGTTTTGAGTGCTCTTTATTCCAATCTAGTAACTTCAATTCTAGCAGGAAATCTTCACTGTGATGCAATGTACATAATTTCATTATAGAAATAATATAGCTGATATACATTTTTATATAATGCATTCACTATACTATATAATATATAATGACAATATACTATCTAACACAGAATCATAGAATTGTAGAAAATTAGGGTTGGAAGGGACCTCAGGGCATCATCTACACTAGTGCTAATCAACCCATGGGTTGCAACCCAAAAGTGGGTCACAAGAATATTTCAAAGGGTCATTAGTAAGTGCCAGAAAAATTTGCAAAAGTGCAAGTTTCCCTTTTCAGGCTGGCAGCGCTCCAGCCTCCAAGTGGCTGCTTGGGGCATGATCAGCACACAGCCAGGCAGGGTTGTAGGAGCAGCCCTAGCTGCCAGATGCAGATAAGTTCATGCTGAGTGGGGGTTGGGCGGCCAGGGCTTGGGGACTGTTGGGGGCTGGAGGGAGTGGTATGTACGTGAGTGCATGCATGTGTGTGTGTGGGGAGGGGATGGGTGTGTAGCAGGGGATGGGTGCCTGCTAACACTGGGGGAAGATGGCCAGGCACCAAGGCTGTGGCAGGACAGGAGGGCAGAGGGAAGGCACCTACCCCTTCAATGGGGGAAGGGGTAGAGGAGAGCTGCATGGCCAGACTGGCGACCCCAGGACTGGGCCTGTGTTCATAGGGGCAGGGCAGCTGGGAGACGCTGCTTGGAAGGTGGGAGGAGCCGTGACCAGGCTGTCTGGCATGGTGTATGCCAGCCTAGAGCAGGTGTGCCACAGGCCTCCCCTCCCCCTCCTCCTTCCAGCCTGTGCCAGGCCAACTCACTTTGCTGCCACCTGCATAAGCCAGAGCCACTGCAGCCACCGTGTTGTGACCCAAGTGGGACGGGGGCAGCTGGAGGCCCCCTTCAGCAGGGCTGAGGGGGCAGAAGGCTGCAGGTTGGGAGTGAGGGGCCCAGCATGGCCTGGGAGGCCAGGGGACTGTGGGTCAGGCACCAACAGGGTCGGGGGGTGGAGGTCAGGACAAGCCATCTATCTTGGCAAATGAGTACTGGTATGAAAAAGGCTGAGAACCACTGATCTAGTCCAACCCTTTGCCCACACAAGACTGTTCGCAATTATATCATCCCAGCCAAGACTTTGTCTACCAAGGATGAGATTTCCTAATTTTCTAATGTGTAATATGGAATATACATATAAAATGTATCTAAAGGAAAACCAAAGGAAAGAAAATAGGAAATTAACACTAATCTTCATGTCCAATTCCTTCCTTTTTTTAGTAACCATCCAGTTTTAAAGTTAGTATATCTACCTCAATTACATGTAGGATGATGAATAAAATAATGACTGCATGAGAATAACAACGAACACAAAAATTATTACAGGGCAGTTTCCCTTCTGGGATGGACATCTCTTACTGACCCAACTCACTTGAGCTGCATCTTTCAACCTGCTGCTAGATTTAAATAATGTAGACAAGATATCATTTCCTTTTGGAAGAAGATAATAAGTGATAAGTCTGAATCACATGAAGAAGTCTGAATCATCTTCAGGACTTATTCATTTTTTAAAGAGATGCAGTCCAACCCTCTGATTAGGATCTAGAAAGAAAAACTTAACCGCAGTCCTTAAACTAGTAGAAGCAGCAATCTTTGAAAATGAATTAGACATTGCTATGAATATTAATTACAGTGCAAACATTTCTAGCATGCATACTTACTCTTTGCAAGAAGCAGGGAACCGAAGGCAACCACTATAACAAAGATGGCACAGATGGCATCCAAACGCACAGCAAACCATCGTGAGGTTGTCAAAAATAGAAACCAAGCCTCTAAAGAGTGTTGTAAAAGTCATAAAGAACAACGAGTTACAGGGGAAATAATTTCCTTGGCAAATCCCACAAAATTCAGCATGAATTAATTCAATAAATTAAAAAAAAAGAAAAACTTTCTTGGAGACTGGGGGGGCAGTGCCCCTGGTGATAAACATGCTTTGCTTTGCTTTGCTTTGCTAGAGCAGGCTGACCAGTCTTCAGATATTAATCTTTGTACTGCTCAACACAGCTGAAGTTAACATATTTAATAGTAATGAGTGCAGAAAGAAAAGGACCAAATTCTACTAATGTCAATGGAAAAAGATTCTCATGGACTTTAGCAGACTTCAGGTGAGGGGCGAGCTATGTGATGAAAAATACTACAGCTTTTCTTTCATTTAAGTTTCAGATAAAATGTGTCACAATAAATGTTAACTTAGTTGAACACTTTTAACACAATATATGTAATTTAGTATAAGGCTGAAGAAAAAAGCAGTATAAAAACACTAATAGAAACTGAAGCACTCAAACACAGGACCAGTTACAACAGCATCTGATGAAGTGAGCTCTGATGAAGTTTATGCATCTCTGATTTAGTCTATAAGGAGCATCTCTACCCTGCCTTCTTCCAGGAACAGAGGTTATAGATGTAAAAATTAAAATTTCACAGTAGGGTATCATGTGGTAAACTGGGATTATTCAAACAAAATGCAACTTAATACAGTCCAGTGCACTAATAATATACATGCAGATAGGGGGACCATACTCAGGAATGTGATGACTCTTAAAAGAACTCAGGAGTCAAAGGATATGCAACTGAACATGAGGTCTCAGTGTGAAGCCATGACACAAGGGCTAATCCAATCATTGTTTACACAGTGGAGTTTTTATACACAGTCTTACTATTATGCTTGTTCTTAGGTACACTAGAATATGCTCCCTGATTACTTGCTTTGCTTTTGCAGGCTGATTCTTAGACTAGCAGCCTTGCAGATTCTGACTGGTTGGTCTAGAGCTGGCTCTAGGACAGAAACAGCTGAAAGACCATAAGGAGTCAGATCCACTGGGGAGGAAAATGAACTACAAAAGGGGGCTTTAGAGGAGCTGAAATCTTTATTGGGTCTACCACCCACAGCTGCCACAGTAAACATGAAATATCCGCACAGAAATTTGAAAAGCTGCTTTGATGCTCACACTATTTTTCTGGAACATAGGAGTAAGGGAAGCAGTGGGCTGAGGTCCTCAAATCAAGCAACAGTTTTACCTGGGCATGGGAGCAGGCTGAGATTCCATGCCCTTTGACAGCTCAGGCTAGGTGATCTAACAGTAAATTTGGGTCTTAGATTTTATTAATTAAAAAATGACAGGTAAAGTGTTTTAGGGTATAGTTGCATACCTTAAGGCAGATAAAAGTTGAACATCTTATCTAACAATCATAAGGTATTAATTCTTCTTCCTTATTCACCTGTAAATTATTCAAATTCCTACAAGAGATATTTACAGGAACTTGAATAATTTACTAAAAGGTCAGTAACCTTTCCTGTTACTTAGTTTAGTTAATTTCATTGCTAAAGGTCATGATATAAATCTAATTCAGATTTTTTTTTTTAGAAAGTATTAATATTATAGCCAAGATGACTTTAATCAAATTAATAACTGTAATCAAATCTGTATTTATATGGCAAGGAACTATGAAAACTGTTCAAAGAATTAAAAAACTTATTTGCTGATTTGAAACCGTTTAAAAGCACATCACTATTATTAGATATGCTTTATAAAATAAAGTACAAATTGTTTTTCTCCCCAAAATAGTATATACTGGAAGAAAAAGGATTCCCTAAATAGCCTTATCAGGCATATTTTAAAATGTTTATTTTATAGATGATTAAAGATACAAGCTTGGGTATCTCAAATTGTATTACAGCCTAAAATGAATTATCAAACCAGGGAAAACAATAATAGGGAGATTTTGCCCTAGAGAGACACATGCACAACTCCTACCGAATTAAATGTAAGTGGAATATGTGCACCTGAGGGCAAAAGATATATCCCTCCTACAGAGCTAAGAACTTGGTTGTTCATGTTGATTCATTACAAACCTGAGTGAAGGTCTTGGTGAGCATCAAATAATTTTTGAAACCTTTGCTCTGCCTTCAAAGCCCGAATAGTCCAAAGTCCCTGGAGAGAGGATGACAGGTGGGAAAATACTGGACTTCGAGCTGCAAAGTAAAAAAGGAGAATCCCACTTTAGCTGAAGGGCAGTATTTAATTTTTTATGTTTGTGCTAGAGTAATCTCTAATCCTACTACTACTGTGTGTTTACTGATGCAAGCTACTTTGTTGAATCTTTACCGTAAATATATAGTATCCTTAATTAAAATTCCTGTTACTCACTACAACCATTTGGATATGAGTGAAAATTAATTTACACACAATTTTCTTTGACAATAGTTGAAATTCAAGTATTTAAGTTCAAAATGTTCCTGTTTTGTGTCTTTTATTACTCAGATGATATATAGAGTTCTTTGTTAATTGTGAGGCTAGGTGACAAACAATTCTAATACAATAAAAGGCTTAGTCTGTCTGTCTGTATGTTTGTCTGTCCATAATGCTTCTGGTCAACTATGCATGCGCTGCTGAGAGGACGGGAGGTGATTGGCTTCGTGGCCTTGGTTGGGCAGCCCCAAGTTTGCCCCACTGCCAGGGAAGTTTGGCAGTGGGGAACATGCCCCGGCCGCCCGAGCAACAGGGCTTCCCCCCTGTCTCCCTGCCTAAGGGCAAAGGGGAGGATCACAGTAGCAGCACCCCCCAGAACAGCCGGCAGGGAGGGGGAGGCAGTGTGCAGGGAAGGAGTGGGGGAAGCATGGCCACGAGCCAGGCGGACCTGAAGCAGTGGGGGAGTGAGGGAGGGGGGAGCAGGGTCGGACCCAAAGTGGTGCGGGGG